AAACCCTGTCTTACTATTCTAGTATATCTTCAGCTGTTTTTAACTCCCACGATAACTTAATGCATCAAAACTGAACTGGTTTTACCACTCTGCAATATATGGTCATTAATAAGAAGATTCTCACTGAATCCAACTGTGTTGTTCACTTTCTGTTATTATCACTGCTCAAGAAAGTTCCACATCATTCCTACAACACTGCTGTTCCTGAAAGGTACTGTAAGTTCAAATCCAGGAATGCAGACTCCTGGTGCGTACTGTCCCTCTCCATATGACAGGGACTGAGAAGCACCCACTGTCATTAGGTCTGAAGTCACAAAAATGGATCTGAAAAAGCTTCCAGATTCAGATTTTTCAAAGGTGAAAAAGCTTTCCTACTTGCATCATCTATTACATACGGCAAAGTTTTTAGCAATAGCAGTTTCATCAGGAGGCAACTGGAAATCTGCTGAATTCAGAGAGGGCTTGCTAGTAATTTCATTAAATGCATGGTTCACAGGTTACCTTTCACATAAGGAACATACAGAGGTTTCTGATAATGGAGTAGGAAAAGCCTTGCAGTGGGTTAATTTGTTGTTTGAGTTACTAATTGTTTTACCATCGAGCATCCTTGGAAGACAGGGTAGAATATATCGACAGACGACATCAGCAGTGCAGGCGATCTGTAAGAACTGTTGATTCTCCTTAGCTTTGTCACAAGGTTAGGGAGACAGCAAAAAGATTTATGCTTCTGAACAGAAAGATTCTGTACAGCCAGGAGTTCTCAATTTTAATGAATTAAGGAAGGATAAGGATTTTTTTTATGTGTGTGAAAGTATTTTTTAATATATATCTCTATATAGCTATATGTAGGCACAGATACATATTAAAAGGCCCCAAAAGGACCTGCAAATTTACTGAATTATACAAGTTACAATTAAAGTAAAATATATGGTATATATTTATTATTAATATCCAAACCAAAGCAAACTGTGGTTGTAGTACAGTATTAACAGGAAATGTCAAGGCTATTAGTTATTGAAACATACATGCCTGAGCTACTGCCTGGGAATTTTTAGTGTATCCAGCTGAGTTCCTGGTGTAAGTAGTTTCGTGTTTCTTCTGCCACACTGAAGGCATCTCCTTTTCAGCTCTTTTCTGTTGCTCATGCATTATCTATTTAATTTGTAACAGGAATTACTCCTCTTCTCTTTAAAGAACCTGAGTATCACAGCAACCTAATTAGTAGCCAAATATTCAGGAGAGAATTGAAAACAGGGCACTGGGAACAGGACAGTTAGCTGATGAAAAAACCCTCCTTGAGTGTGCCAGAGCACATGCAGACAGACACACAAAAACATTTTAGGGACCAGCTGAAGCTGTAGGCATTGTGATGAATATTTTAAGGAGACAAATCCCAGTGTTGGTCACTTGTGCTAATATAGCCAGATTTTTCTGCTGAGCAAAGTTCTTTCCTAGCTAAAAACTGTGCCTTAACTTATGGGAAACATGTTAAAGTCCCTGTCTGGGAGCGGCTGAGCAGATTTTAGTGACCTGCTCAACTGTATGGCATGGTCTTCAGGCAGAGCAGGCAGCGATGGTCAGATGTTACAGGGAGCTCTGCGGGTTTGGGCTCAGTTCCTGTGCTGCAGTAGTTCCCAGGGTGCTGGCTGCCCGCAGAGAGCTGTTTGCTGAGCTCCAGCGCCCGGACAGCCCTGCGAGCGGGAGCCATGAGCTGGCGGCTCTGCCCGGCCACTCACCTCACCCAGGGCCCCGCACACCTCCTGCCCACCTGCCCCGCATGGGGAATCTCACCTGCTCCTCACCAGTCATTTCCAAGCTCTGAGGCACAAATGCTGTCGGAACTGTTGGGCTCACACACAGCAAAAACAGGAATGCAAAAGAGTGTGAATGGGGAGAGGCACTGCTTTAAAAATAACAATAAGAACTGTTAAATTCTTCTCACATGGCTAGGGTTTAAATAGCCTCTGGGAGTAGTTAAACTGGGTAGGGAAGCAGGGATTTTCAGTATTCCCACAGCTGGACACCTTAAATGTACCATTTTTATTTGACATGCAACATATTTGCGTAGAATTTAAAAATGGGATTACTCGAGCATCCTAACAAAGCTCTCGCCAGAGAGCAGCCCGGCAGGTCTCTATGGGGTGCTGCATTTCCCAGCAGTAGCCAGGACGAGACATTTCGAGAGAAGGCAGAGGAAACCCAACACAGGCAGTTGCAGAGCACTCGCTCACCAGAAGTATTTTCCTCCCTCATTCAGAGTGGTTTCTGCCTCATCCAGGCCTTGGAGTTTTTAGTACATCTTTTGTTTCTCTTTTAAATGTGTGTGTGGTCATTATCCATATAAATGTCACTATCATGATCTCTTTTAGCTATTATCTTTCCAATGAAAACAACTGCAATCTTTTTAATCTCCTTTCAGATAGAAGCATTTCCAGGCTTGCAATAGCATTTCTGGCATGTGGAGGACAATGTCTCCATGTGTGCCGTTCGGAGGGGCTGCTGACCCTTCTGTAATTTGTGGCTGTGCTTTGCCAGCCTCCCTTGCAGCCTCGGAAGAGACCATAGCCAAGGCTTTTCTGCAGGTCCCAGCAGATAACGTCAGCCCACCTTCATGCGACAGTTCACCACAGACACGCAGTTGAGAGCATTTGCAGAAGACACAGCTTGTAACTGAGCTGCACGACAGCTCATTTGTATTAAACTGCTTCTCTACGGAGACCTCTGAGGAAAACTACAGCTGCATGGGAGCTGACCTTAGCGTTTAGCTGCTTCTTAGCAAATAAACCTGGTTATTTTCCCTCGAGCATCTGCTCCCAGCAGTTCAGACAGCAGAGAGCATTTTCTCTCTGTGACCTGAAGAGGACACAGGTGGCCCCTGCATTCCCCACAGTCACACAGTCCGAGGCCCTTTTTCACCATCTCTGCAGCCCCCGGCCTTGACCCTCAGGTAGGGCAAAGGCTGTCTCAGCTCTATTGCTGAGCTCTTTTTAATATGCACTTAAAACAAAACACAGGTAAGATCTTTTTTCTTCGCATGTTGGCTCTTAAAATTTGGCTTTAGTCCTCTTTATTTTACATGTTGCTGGTCATTGCTCATTGGGCACGGTGTTACCTTTCTCACTAAAAAATTATTTTCCAGTTCTTACTTATTTGGCTGGAAAATATCCTTCACCCATTTAACAATACTGGTTTATTTCTTCAGTTTAGTTGGGGGATATTCAGAGTCTCTGTGGTTTGTATTATATCCCTTATTTTCCTGCTTTGGGAGATGGAATTATTTCAGCATAGGATGGGCTTTGACTGGTTGATTTATTTAAGCCCCTTTTAATAGAGCGTCACTGTGACAGCTTTTGGCAGTGTTCCTCTGCCTCTCGTGTTAAATTTGATTAAGCTGTTGTCACCATTAATTCACAGTTCATCTATATTTACCTCCTGAACGCTCCCATGTAGTGCTCAGCCCTAAGTCAAGCATAGCCTCGCTCCCCACGTTTAATCCTGACTGCTCCAAGAAGCAGTGGTGTAAACTGGTGAGGAACTGCTATTGCGAATCGTGCTTTGCGGCGTCTGAAGGGCTTGTGCAGCGGTAGAGGAAGACATCAGTGATAGGTTCAATTTGGTTTTTAGTTGATTCTTTGTAAGCCTGCAATGGTTTTTGCTCAGTATTTTTTTCCCAGCTAGGTGACATATATTATAACCTGCAGGGGTGTTTTTATTTCTACGCCTCAGGACTTGTAGCTGTGAGGTTTTAGCAGGGTGGCTCTCAAACAGACAGGTGGGGTTTTTGGCATCTGAAGGTTCTAGTGCTGCTCAAAGAGCTGGTTCTTAAGTTTAGCAAAAGCTCCAGAGGCAGCAGGGAGTATATGGTGAACATATGGTCCACGCAGCCCGCACATTTGGCAGTGTAACACTGGGCTATAGAGCAAAGGCCATTTGTCAGAGCTACCACAGGAGGGTAGGAGATGCAGCTTCTACCTGTTTACTCATTGATAGGGTTAGTTTAATGCTGCTCTAAAAGAGTCTTGTAAGTGAATAGCCACGTTGCGGTCCCTTCTGCAGCCTGCCATCTTTCAGGCTGTCAATGGCCAAAAGACAGTTCTCTGGCGGGGGGCTCGTCCCTCCTGGGCCAGCTGCTGTACTAGCCCTTGGTGGGACGGTCACATTGTGGCAGGGAGGAAGCACTGAAGCTTCTCTGCTGCACTGGGGACAGAGGATGCCTGGGGACTGAATGAAGTGGCTTAGTGAGGCTCTCCCTCAGCTACTGCATCTCCTTGTGGGAGTCTTGGGTCAGGGTCTGCTCCCTGAGCAGGACCACCCCAGAGCTCCTGTGCTGGCCTGTGTCCCAGACATCTCGGGGAATTTTCCATCTCTCAGGTACAACCCCTTCTCAGTCTCCCACTGAGCAGTGCCGCCACAAGCAAACACTTACTCAGGCTTTTTCTTTGAAAGGACGGTACTGTCTGTTGCAGTTAAAGCTGTATTTCCAAGTCTAAAAAATCCTTCATGAGGAATAAGTGAAACGAGTGGCTTTTCTTTGTCTTGGCTGAAACTTGGGTGTGAAGCTTTGCCCCATTACAACTACGAAGGCACTTAAACAATTTACTTGCATTTACTCACTCTTAACTACATTACTCAGCTGTTTTCTGGACATGTATCTCAGGTCACAAAATGTTAAATTAAAACTGAGCTGTGTCTAAGTTGTGTATTGAGGAGCAGTGTCACTTTGATCCTGTGATTATGGCTAGTACAGAAAGTCAGTTGAAGGAGCAGAAATCTTTCCTAACTCCCTTTCCTCCCGATGAATACCTGGAAGCAGCACTGCATTGTTAGCTGGTTTTTTCCTACAATATAATTTGTACCCACAAAATGAACATTTCTCTAGTTTGCCCGTGATGGAAATAGGGCCTTTCTAGTCTTCCATTTTCCCATATTGTGATGTGATATGTGAAGTTTTTTCTGTATTTTCTTTTTCTAGGCTTGCTCCCAACATAATCTCTCCACTTGTCAGCCCCCTGAAAGCATTAGTTCCACCTTCCCTCTTGCAGAAACACGGCTCTCCATCATCACACAGCCAGTCACCAAATGGGCAGCAATTTTCTGGAATACCAAATAAACCATATGCTCAGTTTCAAAACCAGTCTGTACAGCAGGGATCTCAAGGTAACTCTTCCCTCTTTTTTTTTTTTCCCTTCTTTTTTAAACTTTCCTAATTCCTTGCTGGGGAGAAATAATTTATTTCTGTTTTTGCATTTTTGGCCAATACTGCCTTATTAAGGGACTGACAGCGTTTCAATGGGAACTCCTGTTTTTTAAGTGGCTTGATAAACATACAGAGTAAAATCTTCACACCAGTTATTGTTGTGATATGTTTTCATAATGGGGAAAGCTATCACAACAGCAGATTTCTTGCATTTATTCAGGTTTTTTAGGATATATTTTCAAAACAGGTCCTTACAAGAATAAGTCGTGCCCCCAAATAACTTGAAATAGCTTCTTCATTTAAAGATGAAGTGAATATTTAGCCCAGACTCACTCCTTGATTGTCAACAAAGGACTGCTCTCACCATGCAGTGGATGGCTGCTAGCTATGCACCTCACCTGACGGGTCATCCAGCCTTCCAGCTTGGAGAGCATCACCCTGCCAAAGCAGGAGCCATCGAGTCCCAAAATACAAGGGCAGAAGCCCACCTTGGCAATGTCCTGCCCAGCCCACTGATAATGATGCACTAGACGTGAGCTTAGACAAAGAAAAAATAATGTTGCTATTTATTATTTGGAAGTTTGGCATCTTTGTTATTTTATATAATAATATGCAAACATATTCTGTACAACTAGAGTGCCAGTGTGATGAGAGGACAGGAATGGGAGCAGCTAAGCAGCTGTCTCACTGCTTAATTTAAAACATTTTTTGTTCTGAATTACCCAGCCTTTTTAATCAGGAGCTTATTTACCTATTCTGGAATTCTGCTGTGGGAACTAATTAATGTTTCTGCAATTTTTGACATATAAATTAGCAAGAGATATTATTATCACAGATTCTTCCAGTTACAGGAGCTTGCATATTTAAGAAATATGTTATATAATCCAGATGGTATGCTGCTTAAGTGTGGTAAATATTCACAGTAAAGAAGTGTGCAGGACATGTGTCTGGTTGCAAGTATAACCAAGCCTGTAAGTTTATACAGGCAGATAACCAGCTTTTGAAACTCGTTTCACAGCTGCACTGTCATTTGTATAAGGTCATTTTTGGCTGGTGAAGTATCACATGTGATCTCTTTACCAGTGGGCAAAATAGGAGGTTTGCTTTCTCTCAGTTTATGCCAAGGCAAGGTCTGAAACAGGAGCTGAACACAAACTCAGTGAGCAGTTCACAGCTGTAACGGGGTTCAGTAACCCAACAGTTCCTCTGCCCTTCGTTCTCTGAGGAGTATTTTCACTCTTTGGTTGGACTGACTTAGTCTGAAAAGTTAAAGTGCATTATATTAAATGATTTGTGCTGAAGGAAAAACTAACTCAACCTGATGCTCAACAGATTATTCAATTTAAAAAGATTAACTCTGTAAGGGAAAAGTGGCAGATTTATGATAGCATATAATGATATATGATTATGTTACTATAATGAGCTAAATAACTACAAACCACAAGAGGAAAGTTTAGCAGCTCATTACTATGGCAGAAACAAATGCATAGACAGAACAAGTTTTGAACCACTTAAATAAATTGACTTTATTCCTTAAGAAAACCACATTTCCTTTTGAATGAATTGTTGCTTTCTAAGTGTTATGTCGTGTGGTTTTGAAAAAGCAATAATTTTCCACTTTGGCCAAATGCTGAAGTATTATTATGAATTCATTATGGAAATGGTCATTCAAAAATCAATTTTGATTAGCAGCCTTTGAACTCAATTGATCTGTAACCTGTACTTTGCTGTACTTGCTCTATGTCTTTTTTGCATCTCAGTTCATTAACAGCACATTTTTCTAATGTAATTTATGGTAATTTAGGAGTTTCAAATTTTTGCCGAAAAAAGGGATAATAAAGTATAGCTGTAGAACTAGGCAGCTGTATAGGAGCTTATAGTGGATGTGAGATTGTTAGACGACAGCAAGCTTTCTCAAGCTGGTAGCAGGAATACTGATAATGAAAGAATAAGCTGACATTATTTATATGTTTAAACCTAGTTGCAGCAAGATCACATGGAAATTATTACATGCTGAAAGAATTTGGCAGGCAATGGAATCCTGTAGTTATTTAAACCTGACATGATTTCTTGTCAGAAATTTTATGGAATTTGAAAAGCTGAGATTTATTTGCACATACATGTAAATGACATGACATAACAAGATGGCATTTAATAGTCATATTCCAATTATTTGCTTATTACATCATTCATTTTAAAGCTGCTTGAAGTTTTCTAGGCTGTGCCTTAGAGAAACAGAGGTAGCCAGTGCGCTGTGTGAAGTGGCTAACTGCAGCTTTTCTGTCACAAATTATTTCAAAGCAAAATTTTAACTAAATGTTATGTTTGGAACTCAGTTTATTCCTTTATTAACTGTTACATTTCTACATCTACTGTACATAAAATATTTAATAGTGATCATTTAAACTGACAGGGCATTTAGTAAATTCTTCACTTGAAAATTAACCTCAGAAAATTTTTGCTTTAAATCAAAAGTGAAGGAAAACCTGAAATCCATGTGGAAAAAGAAATATTGGTGAAACACTGGTTGCCAAATTGGTACTCCACTATTGCTCTCCTAGAAGGCTCAGGGATGTTTGCAGCAGACAAGCCCTCTTGCTTACTTCATATTTTAAGCACTGAAGGGAGTCTTTTTTAAGAACTTGTAAAAAATGTTCCATGTTTATTTCACTCTAATCAACCTTCTGTGGTTGCTAATTGAACCATTGATTACAGGATTTTAATCATATCTTAATTCCTAATACTTTATTTGTAGAGCATTTTAAAAAAACCTAAAGGAACCAAAACTAAATGTCATTAACAAAAAGCTCCTTTGTTTCATACTGCACGTTTAAAAAATGTATAAATGCAATAAAGCTCTGACTTGTATTGCATATGCAAATCAAACATTGTATTGCCTGCAAGCAACAAGTGTCATTTCCTGTAGTTGTGTAAAATGAGTGACACCTTATCTGGCAAGAGCACCTGTTGTTACAAAAGTCTGTGTGGTTGCTTTGACTCACACAGCCTTTCCATCTCTTGTCTAATGACTTTGGGTTTTGGGAACACTCAGCATTTAAACAAGCTGGCAGTTTTCCCTTTTTAATAGTGTAAAAGATGTGTGAGGCTCAGATCCTCTGGAACAGACTGACTGGCCTCTTGAGCCATGCCAGGCTACTGAAGGTCACCAGCAAGAGCCACCTACTAGGTACCAAAATCCCTCTCCACCTGTCCCTCTGAAGCAGCAGGTAGGACTATAGGAAGTGTGTTCAAAATAATGAAAAAAAATCTTACTGACATAGCAACTCACTGATCCCTCAGTCCTTCAGCCTGGAGGTACACAATTTCAATCCCTCCCAAGACTTATTTCTGCCTTCCAGGGCTGCCATTCAGCTGGCTACATTTCAAAATACAGCTTTTAATAATGCAAGCACAATTCTTCCTATCCAGGTGTTGTTTCATGCCCAGTTTAAGTGCAGGAAACATCACCAACTTCTTCCTAGACATCCTAGTAGTGGAACTCCAGATCAGGTTCACCAGCTGCAACTGCAGCTCTTTAGTGTCTGAGATGTAAGGCCAGAGTCCTCCTGAATAAACCACGGCCACTGTCACTCCCCATGACACCTCCGTGCAGTCACACATTCTGAAGATGAGTCATGTAAACACACACAAGACAGACAAGTGCTAGCTGACAGGTCTCCAACCAGGCAGTGAACTGTCTGCTGTAAAATCCCTGCGTAAGCGGTAAAGCCAGCACTGACTCAGTAACCTCAGTGCTCTTGTCTATGCAGAAAAGCTGTCTTTAGTCTTTTGCAATTGCAAAAACTCTTGGGAGTCTCTTTCTCCTTCACCTTTCATCCTCAAGGAGCAGCCACCTGCCTTTAAGTCCACTCCTCCATAGCCATCCCCGTGCCCTTTCCCACGCGCACAGAATGGCTTCCATAGAGCCTCAGCCCTTTCTTACAGGGTCCCACTGTCTCATCGTTTCCATGAAGCTAATGAAAAAGGAAGAAAGCTTCTGTTATACTGCTCAGGTCAGAAGGGTTAAAAGTCCCATTTTTAGTGTCATGGTTTATTTTACCTGACCAGTGTTCTTCCTGCAACCTTTCCCTGCCTTACTCTTTTTAGTTTGCTACCTGCATTTATCACAGCTGCAAGCACGTTAGAACAGGAATGGTGTATTTCTCTGTATGCGCTTTGGGAAGCGCTGAGCAGAAATTTGGTCCTGGTGAATACACCAGTGCAATAACACCAGTGTTTTCCTACACTGTGTCTCTTCATTGGACAGTTCCAGTAACACTTTTTGTGCTGCCTTTTCAGATTATCATGCAGTGATGTTGAAAGATAGATATCTGAGAGGAGAATTTGATTGCTTATGGCAGTTCTTTTCCAGACTTCTGAGTCTGAGGCAGTTCTCTGCCTCAGGTATTTTTTCCTGAGCAGCTAGACAGTGTAACTTAAAACGCTTCAAAAGAAACCCTTACCCACAAGTCCTGAGAACACCCTGGATCCAACTAGTTTCAATCCAGTTCTGTCATGCTTGGCTGTTCTCTGATTTTCTAAGCCACTGTGCCAGCCCTGTAGATCATAAAGATATTTAATTGATTTAACAAAGGCAAGCCTGGGAGCATGACGAAAGGGCAGCAATTACAGAGACAGAGAAAATACACGTCATGCCTTCCCCAGAAGTGATGTGTATAGCAGACATCCTGGAAAAGGTTCAGTTTTCTCTAGCAGTACGTGTAAGTGCTCTCTGCAACCAGTTACACCTCATCTGAAGCCAACTGTCTCATTTTCTTTTTCACTGGTCATCTCAAAAGGGTGTATTTTTAGAAGGCTTACAGCAAGGAGTTCATGTTTTCTAAACAGAAAAGTCAGGATAATTATCAAAAGCCAATCAATAAAGCACTGTACCTAAAACCACATCAAAATATGGCTTTGCTACCTCTCATAAGAGCTCTTTGGTTTTTTGAGCCAAACTCTCCAGGCAGTAAATAGATGTGGCTGTCTATTTATTCCAAGGAAGGACACGCATCATTTAATACTCAGCTTTTCAAATTTCTGGGCCTTCTTCAACATAGCAGCAAATATGAACAGCTTTGGTACAGTGTGCATAGTGCCTTTATCTAATATAGTCGTCCATTAGTACTTCACCAGTCATGGATATCAACCATTTAGGTATTTTGTGGTGAAGGATCATAGGTTCTAAAGAAATGCATCATCTAATCCTTGCAGATTCTGCCAAAACACATATTAAACTGCGAAACTTCAGAGCAAATCTTTCAGCACTTGATGAGTTCATTGCATTTCTACTGAAGAATTGCCTCACTTAGCCTTATTTATTACCACCTTAGAAAAACATGACCAGAATGAACAGACAGACCCTGAGCTTTGCCTGATACTATCTACTTGGTCAAACTTTGGTAGTAAAGGAAAAAGGTAGAAAAAAACCCAAGAGATCTTTCTTAGCAGGAAAAAGCTTATACACGGCGTGATTTGTGAGGGACAAGTTCCACCCAGTGCAGCACCCAGGTGCTCTGGCGATAGGCACAGGTATTTCCTTTCCAAACAAACAGACTGAAGAGCTGCACAACTGGCCCAGCAAGTCGAGTCTCCCCTGGTGAGGGGAGCTGTGCTGACGTCTGTCAGCTCAGGGTCTGCTGATGTCTGCGTTTGACTGAACCACCTGGAGCTTTTGCAGTAGTTCCTTAGGAAATGTTTCAGTCTGAGTAAGGCTGAGGGAAGAAAGACAACAAAGACAACAGCTCCGTATTTGTCTGGCAGTTAGAGGAAAATCCTGATGCCATTTTACTGACTTTAAACCTGACTTGGTTGACTTGAGTCACATATAAGGGAAGGAGCATCATTTCAGAAGGGACTTTGAGAGAAGGTAGGAAAAGGGATAGTTAATATGACTGCGCAATTAGTGTGCAATGCACCTGGAATCAGGAAGAGGTTACTGAGGCAGGAGGAAGGAAGAGAATTAAATCAGACCATGGTTGGTATAAATCTTGTGGCATGGTTTGAGGTTATCCTTATGGGAGCAAGTAACATTTTCTTTTAGGATGTTGGCACAACTTCTAAGTTGTTAAATTCCTTCCTCAGCAATTCATTTGTCCTTTTCTGCTAAATATCTTCTTTTATTGTGTACAACTCATTCACAGCTTCTGCTGGCAAAAACCAAACTGCTGATCCACTGGTAATATGATATTTTTTAAAAAAGCAGGAGATAAGAAATGTAGGGTATGCAGGGGACAGAAGTCAAACATGCCCCAAAAGCAGAATGACTGGGGCAGCCAGAGACCATACAGATTTAGCACTTTTCAGAAGCAAGAAGAGCCTCTAGCTGAACTCAGAATCTCCTGACATCCACCTGGAGTCAGTCCTGTGCCTCTAGTTCAATTTTACTTACAGACTGTGGTCCCCTGTGTTCAGTGAAAGGGGTTTCATTTGAAATAAGAGCAAAAGAGAAGTTGAGAAAGCAGAGGCTTGAGGTTGCCTTAAAGGTATTTTGAATAGTGCTGTCTCCAGCAGTGCATAATGCACAGTGGATGGGAAAAGTCTTTGCTCAACTGAAAACAAAGCAGTGTTATTCATTTAAATACTGCATTATTGTATTTAAATTAAAAGTAATTCATTATAGACACAGTCCCTAAGAGCTGAGCGTCCTGGACCTGATCCAATGGAGTACTTACTACTTAGCTTTGAACACAAGTGGCCTGCTGACTGCATCCAGCTGATCTACTGCTTGAAATGAAGCACATCCTTGAGGTTTTTGCTTGTTGGGGATCACAGCCCACAGCACCTTGCGGGACCGAGTCTGATGTAGCTCTTCTGTTATTACTCCTTACAGAATAGCATGATTGTTTTTCCATAGTTCAAACTGAGGAACTAAAAACCCCCACAATAATAATGAAATGCCGTGACAGAAATGGAGCTAATACCATTGCAGTCGTGTTAAAATGTGTGTGCAATATCTGTTTTCAGGTTACCAAGGCAGCTTTCACTCAATACAAAACTGTTTCCACTATGGAGACTGCTACAGAACAATGGACCAGTCTGTCACCAGCGATGTGCTAACAGGGGACTCCCATTGCTTTAACCCTCTGAGACAGAACGGCTATCACATTCTCAATGCACCTTTACCTTCTACAGGTAATTTATTCTGCCTATAAAGAATTATCCATACGATATTTTTAGTGGGAGGGGAAAAGGACACATTTTATAGTCAGTGTTATTACAAAAATATGTTTGCATAAAAAACTCAGTCACTGAAATTCATTTGCATCTATAAAACTCCCAGAAGGAAAGCAAATTTGTTTTCTTTAATCCTCTTGCATTTGACTGATGGACAAATTCTCCTTTTGTTCTGCTGGATGTCATAGGCAACATACACCTTCAGGAGAGCTGACAAGACACTTCTCACATTTATTGTGTGGGCTATTCATTGTACATCTCGTCAGGAATGCTCAGGCAGGCTTTTATAATCAGTTCAAAGTTAAGAAGATAGGTAACAACTCTGAGGAGAACAGCAGCAGCAGGGACTTCTGTCTGTCTAAGAATAAAAGGATGGCTTTGTTTTGCAATACCACTGTTTACAAAATGGAAAGGCACTGCTTTGATAAATTCAGCTAAAAATATTACTTAGTTCCTTTTCGTTCAGGAGTTCCTTTGTGTTTGTGCTGTTGCACATGCATGGCAATTGCATTTTCCCATTTAGCAATGTATTTGCATAATTAAAATTGGCAACAAGTTATTATAGATAGATTATTATAATACTTCAATAGTTAAGTATTCAGTTTTATAAAGCATGTTTTTCTACTTTTAAAACCACAATTAAGAAGTGACAATTACTGGAATCAAACAAAATGTGAGTGTTGTCAGAGCCATGAAACGCCACCATTTACAGCAATCTTTACTTACATATCTCCAAGAAATCTTTCTTCATGTCTGAAGCAGGAGGGCATCTCGGCTAAGGACGATACTGAAAACATATGCTGAAATGCTTTTTGAAATGGGGCCTGAGTCAGACCGCAGAATTAGAGTTGACTTTCCTGTTTGTTTTGTATTAAAGGAGACTGTTCAGAGAGAGCGTGCATGCATTTGTCTGCTGTTCATACGAGAAAGTGCATGCATCACTAACAAACACAAGGGAAAAGTTTAAGATGAAGTTTCGACTTCAACTTTGAATTCTGTTGTGTTATTCATAAGTTTGATGTTACTAAAACATTTTTTTTCATGTTAATGTCAAATTTCAAGTTTAGATTGACAGCCTGCAATATTTAAAGAACAGACTAAATAAACTTTCCAAAAGAAATTTTAGGAGCAAAGAATAATACTATGGCAAGACACCAACTTCAACAACAGTTGATTTTTCTGTCTGGGGCTAAACTGTTATGAAATGTTTCTGTGTAATATTTTGTTTTTTAGAGCGGTTATTGAGGTATGCAAATACTTAAAAGGCTAAAACATAAATATATATGAAACATATAAATCTTATCTCATCTTTTTGTGTGTAAAATAGAACCATTCAGGTTTGCAAGATTCATCAAGGCTAGGCATTAATTATTTCCAGGCTTTTATAGCACCATTAATATTAAATGAGATCTCATCTCACAGGAAT